ACCAGCCTTCACATTCCCCCTCCCAAACCTCATCTTCCCCACAACCGCGCGCTAGTTCCTGCCCTCATCACCAGACCTCCTTTCCCTCCGTGGGACTTTCCTCTGTGCCCTGGACTGAGACTGGCACCTCCCCTCCCCTGCAGGCTCTTCCTGGGCTCCATTTCCCGGTTTCCTTGGGCAGGGTTAGGCCCCTCCCAGGCTCCCGCCTCCGTAGGCCCTGGCTAGTGCAGGACCATCTCCTGCCGCTGGGCTGTGAGCTCCCTGAGAAAACGACACCTCTCACGCAATCTGAAGTGACCCCAGGCCCAGGCACATGTAGCTTTGGTTTTGTAAATGTTAGGACTATGTGGGGGAGGCCTGAAGTCTGGGCCTGGAGCTGGGTGGCCCTCACCTGTGCTCCATGCCCTTTGCCACCCTGAACAGGATGGCCACTGCAAGTTCCAGCCCGAGAAGGCCATTGCTTTCGTCAAGGACGTGGCCAACATCACCCTCGTGAGTACCGGCCCCTCCCTCTCCCACTCAGAGGCAGGCAGCCGTTCCCTGCAGCAGGTCACTTGATTAATGGTGACTCAGTCCCCTGAAGGAAGGATCACTGGTGGGACTGGGGAACAGACAGCCACTCTGATCTGGGTCTGCACAGGTCTTCCCGCTCATTTCCTGTTTTCTTGTAAAGAATTAAACAAGGGTGTGAGCATGTGTGATGTCACCGGGTGTGACCTCACTGAGCAGAATACACCAGTTAGGAGGAGCTGGGTTACAATGCGGTAACTGTGCCACAGACCTGAATGGCTGAACGCTAAGTTCCAGTGTCTCCTGTAGGACCGGTCCCTCGATAGAGGCAGGGCTATGCCAGGAGCCAGGCAGAGGAGGGCAAGAGGGGTCAATCGTGACTGTCAAGTCTCACAGTCAGGCCTAACCCCAAGTGGGTGGGGAAGTACAGACTTCCCGTTTCTCCAGGAGAGCTGCAGTAGGTGGGAGCGGCCCTGGTGACCCCGGGGTGTGTGAGGATGTGTGTAAAGGCAAAGAGCGTCTCCAGCGGTGTGGCATGCAGGTGTGATGTGTGTACTCGGGAGCCTGAGGCCGGCTACATGCATGTCCACAGATGTGTGCAGCTCCTATCTGTGCAGTAGCAGTGGCCACCACATGGATGGAGTCCATGCAGAGCGCGTACTCAGCAGCAGTGACGAGATGAAGTGCATGGAGCACTTCCAGGTGCCATACCAACCACTTAACACATAGTATCTCCTTCAGTCAGACGACATAGCCCTGGGAGATAAGTGTCATGACTACCTTCATCTCAGAGGAAGAAACAGGTTCAGAGTGGCTGGGTCACTTGCCCAAGGTCACAGAGCTCTGCCGGATTTGAGCTGAGATCATATCATCCCAGAACCTGTGTCACATAACACGGATGTTTGTGCCAGCCCTGAATTTATCTTTAGAAAACAGCCAGTTTCCCTTAGACACACCCACCAAGGCCTGCCTGGCTCGGGGCCACTTACATCCTACCAACCGGCAAATTGAGGCTCGAAGGAATCCCTTTTGTCTGGTTCCCAGGAGAGCCTTGTTAGTGGCCTGCAGGGCCCTGATGAGCCCGCCAGCACTGGCATCCAGGCCTCTCTGGCATGGCCTCGGGAATGTGGGCAGGAATGTGGGCACATGCTCCTGCCAGGCAAGCCTCCTGCCTTCCCTGCCTCCATCTTCCCCGGCCTGTCTGGGCTCATGGCCTTTTCTGACATCAGCTGTTTGCTTTTTGCAGCTGGGTCTTTGCCCAGCCCTCCAGGGAGGCAGGACTGAGGGCAGGCTGGGTGCACATTCCCTCAGGCGCCCCTTCCCTTCAGCTGAGCCCTGGTATCAGCTCACCTAACCTCCACCCTCAAGTCCACTCCCCAAGGTCCAGGGCCAGAGGAATGGCCTCATTAGCTCACCTAAACTGGTGGGTTCCCAGCAGGGGCACTTTCAATAAACGCCTGGGACCCACTCAAGACACCAATGTCACAGTTTGCGCTGCAGCCAGGGCAGCCCTGGGGCCTTTTTAAAACTTCCCCAGGTAGCTTTGGCTGTTGCTTTTACCTGGGCTGTTGCTCTTACCTGGGCCGCGCTGTGCACGGAAGCCTCTGATTTCCCCCCGCCGCCTTCCCGGCTAGAGGGGACGAGTCCTCCCTGGGCACACAGCCTTTCGCTGGGCCTGCTCTCGGTCCCACCAACAGCTAGGTCTTACTTGCTCACGGACTCCTAACCCTGTGTTCCACCATGAAAGCTCCTTAGCCTGGCTTTGGGGGTGGGGGTGG